CGACCTCGTCCGCGCTCAGAAGTGAAGATGGGCAGTGAATTACACGTATGCCCGACCTTCGAGTCGGACGTGCCACATGTAGTTTGGTGGATGGAGACTTTCTAACACGAGATGAGGTTCTCGAAGATCCAGGTCCTGTTTTGTGACAGATTGCTGATGCGTCATCATTCCTTTGATCGTCTCGTAGCTTTGATCTTCGGGTTCCGGGTCTCGGAATCAGATCCCGTCAATGTCCTAGGGGCACCTGAAAAGAGCCTTCCGCTCGCTGGGTGCCAATGCCGTAGAGCAGCGAGAAACTCGCTCGCATCGTTTGCCTGAGTCACTGATCGCCCAAAAAAGCGTATGAGAGAGGACATGCAAGCTGCAGCATGACATCTGTGGCTATGTGCCGAAGCAGCTTCACCGAAGCACAAAGGTGAGGTCGTCAGCCCAGGCGCTTTTGCACCCCTGCATTCACCAATTTGCATTGCTGCGAGGCCACACGAGGGGCTGCAAAGACCTCCGCGGCCTCGTGTAGAAGTGTGCCTGTGCACATGGCAGAGAGGAGAAAGAGCAGTCCTGAGCGTGGGGCAAGGCCTATGGTGGACATTCCTACCCAGAGTCTGCACGACCTGTTCGGAAGGTGAGACGGCCTCTGCTGAAGCTAAATGGCTCAATAGGTACTGAACACAGAGTAATTAAGTCATGCTTGTTGTGATCGACATAGTGGTCTTCCCGAAGCAACCTCGAGAGCATCGGTTTAGGGGCGATGGCGAACACCACGTGGCTTTCTCCCTCGATCCTTCGGCTCAGCTTCCAAGAATCACCCTTGGACAGTCAACTCAGGGCGTTTGCCCTGCAGCAGTGGAAGTCAGATCCCACCGGATTGTCTCGAAGCAACCGTGGTGGATGGCACAGCAAGTATCTCTGCATGCGGGATGCCGAGAGCCTGTCTGGTCTGTATGAACGCGTCATCAGAGCTGCGGCGACTTTCTTGGAAGCTGGAACAGCGGTTCGTACCTATGTCGGGTCCAAAAAAGTACACGTTGCCGCACTGTGGGCAAACGTTAACCGGCCAGAAGATCTCAATGTGCCGCATCAGCATGCAGCGGATGGCGCGCATGGGGAGTCGGTGCCTTTGATTTCCGCTGTCTACTTCCCAAACCAGGGTGCAGTCAGCGGCTGCATCGCCAGACTGCAATTTCCAGGGCATGCCTGCACACCGAACTCCAGCAAGGATTGCAGCATCGATCCGCGCCCTGGCACCTTGGTGCTGTTTCCGGCTTCATCTCTGCACAGCGTGGAAGCATGCGACGCCGAGCTTAGCCAGAGTGCAAGCCAACCTGAAGCAATTCGGGTTTCAATCGCCTTCAACCTGCTAGCCCGAGAGTTGTCGGACGATTTATATGCACACGCTGCATCAGGGGACCTGTCCAGCATGGAGTCGCAGCTTCAGAAGGCCAACATAGATTCACAAGACGGGCTGGGTTTCACTGCATTGCACCACGCCGCAGAGAGTGGGCACCTTTCCATGGTCGATCTTCTTTTGGAGCGGCGTGCAAGCCCGCTGGTCTTGTCCAACAACGGCTCCCTTCCACTTCATCTTGCCCTGGCTTCGGAGGCTACGTCTGTAGCCTACCGGCTGCTTGAATCGGCGCCTGCATCTGCTTCTCAGGCAGGCGGTGCTGCTGGCAGTATGGCGATCCACAGTGCTGCTGGACAGGGAGACGTGACTCTTCTCGACCATCTGCTTGAAATGCGGGCAGGGTTGCAATCAAAGCAGGCTGACGGTAGTACGCCGCTGCATCTTGCAGTGCAGAACGGTCACACTCAGGTGGTGGCCTTCATTCTGCAGCAGGGAAGGGAAGGCCACAGCGGCCTGGTGACAGCCAGAGATGAGCGAGGACTTCAACCGGCACATGAGGCTGCCAGAGGTGGCTTGCTCCCCATCCTCTCAGAGCTTCTGTCTGCGAGGGCTGAGCCCAATGCCAAAGATGATGAAGGGCACTCCTTGCTGTATTGGGCAACTTACGGTGGCCACCGAGGGGTGCTAGAAGGCCTCTTGCAAGCTCGGGCCGAGATCGAGATCCCTGAGCCGGCTGCAGAAAGCTCCAAGAGAGGGGAGGCCATGGCCAACTACTTGGCTGCAGCCTTGGTGGGTCCGAAGCCGAGCAGTGCCCAGACATGCCCAGACCTCTGAGCTCTTCCGTCGAGTCCCGGTGGTTCCTCAGATGTCCTCTGAGGTTCTGGGAGCGATCCACAGATTCAGACGGGCGAGCTGAGCCTGATGCATGTTGCTGCTGCTGCAGGTCACATAAGAGTGGCCCAGGCGTTACGGGGGATGGAGATGTCACCTGCCGCGGCTGCCTCCTCTTCGAAGCTGCAGCCGCTGCACTTAGCCGCAGCCGGAGCTCATGTGGCGATGCTTGGATGGCTGCTGCTTGCTCGCGGGCAAGTTGATGCCCGTGCCAGAGGCGACCTGTGCCCTATTCACTTGGCATCGCTGGACGGACACCTGCAGGCAGGTGCGGCAAGCTCGGGGCAAGAACAGCAGGTAAATGCAGGTCTGGAGTCTAGATGTACGCCCTGCATCAGGCTTTGGAGGCCTTGCTGTCATTTCGCGCTTCACCGAATGCCGTGGACACTGGGCCACAGACATGCTTTGCCCGTGCTCGCGATTTGAGGGCTGCCATTCCTTCCTCGGCCAAGGCAACTGACGGCAGCCGCCCACTGCATGTGGCTGCCTCGCGGGGGCACCAGGACCAGCGCAAAGAAAGCGCCATCAGTCCCTACCCATAGGCCCCTAAGTAGTTCCTTTTTAGAATCCTATAAGGTAATCCCAAAAAGGAACTACTTAGGGGCCTATGGGTAAACCCTGAACCCCTGCCTGCCACGCACCAGCGTGACGTTCGAACTCTCAAAGGCTGTGGGGTTCCCTGACCTGTATGACGGAGTAGTGACCGCAAATGCTGAGGGTGAATACGTGGCAGTTTATTTTTTAGTTTGCTTCTGCGGTGTTGGGGGGGGGGGGGTGTTTAGGGGTGGGGGGTGAAGCACCGAATGCTACACATCCAGGTGCCTGAAGGTTCAGGCAGAGTACTGATCTACAGCTGTGCGCCTGTAGCAAACCGGGACACCTGCTTTTGCCTGTGCTCCTGTACGCTTTTCGATTGGATACACGCCCAGGTTACATCGCAGGGGGTGGGGTGGGGAGGGGGGCTGGTTTCGTTCTGTCTGACGACGTCCATTACCGAGAAGTCCTAGGAGTAGCAGCGCTACTGTTTGTACTTTTCAGTTCTGCTGCATTGACCACTATTGCTATGCTGCTGCTGCTGCAGCTGCCACTGCCACTGCTGCTGCACCTGTACTGCATGGTCTTACAAACCATATACTCTCTAGTCAGTTTTCGATTGCAGACCAAGATGCCTACGCTGAAGCCCATGTCAGACTGAGCAATGACCAGGAGGCAGCGAGACTCCTGATCCTCGGCTCAGATGACTCTTGTGGGAAGAGAGACATGTAGCACAGTATAATACGATACCCTTTGGAAAGAGATAAGAATCGATAGGCTAGCAAGTAAAATTTAGCGCAGTATATCAAACTAATACAATTTAGTACATGTAGAATACAGAGAAACATAGTTACTATGATGTGCTTTGGTATACTAGACGCAGCACAATATACCAGCCGCTGCTTTTGGTATACCAGGTTTTTCCTCAGCAAATTACATAGACTATATCGCAAAGAGATATCCTGATCCTTTGATCCCTTGATAAAAAAGCATGCGAAATGCTACAGTATTCGGAGTATACTATGGGTTATAATACCATATGGTCATAGATCGTAGTATGTTTTGGAGTCGAAGCCGCAAAGCCCGCCTGGAGTGTTCGAGTCCTGGCCCCGGAATCCTAAAACACCCTGCAGCCCTAAACCTGATCACCCTCAATCCCCAGAATATATGTCATGATATGAGAAAGCGTGCATTAGACGTTGTTTTTCTTGTATGAAGGCAATCCAGCTGTAGTTATGTACGCCGCATGTTAGCCCTCCACAGGCCTTGAGAAGACCTAGAAGCCTTATCTGCGAATCCCAAGACACATATTGCAAAAATCTAGTACCATATATTTCAGCATACTATTATATAGCACAGTATCATCGTGTATGTGCTGTGGTATACTATAGTATGCCATATAAAGTGTAACATAGGATATAGTATATTTTAACAACGGCAGCAGTTTCTTGGCCAAGGCTCCGTGCTCGAGCCGTCGTGGGAGCAGCCTTGCGGAACAAGGAGACGGCGGTGGATAGGGCCACCAAGGCAATAGCTGTGCTTCGGGGTTTTCGAAAAGGTTTGGGGTTGGGAGCTTCAAAGTTTAATTAGGGGGGTTTCTTCAAAGTGGCCGGCCCCAGACCGTGACTCAAAAAAGGAGGTTGAGGTTTTAAAGTTTTAGAGTCTAGGGTGAAATCTGAAAGGACAAGGCCTCAGGCAAGGCTTGGGCTTCAGGGGGTTTGGGGTCTAGGTTTAAGGATTGAGGGGTGTAGGGATTCAGCTTCATTTCGGCTGAGGGGCTTTGAGTGTAGGCCTTTGGGCTCACTTGAGTCCTCAACAATTTTTTGATGCTGGTATGATTCGTTTTACATGCGGTGTTCTGATTGGCCCAGTCTCTACCAGCAACATGCTTCGTAGTGTTGGGTCAGGGCTGTGCATGAAAAGAAGCTTCTCGCAATCCCAAGTGTTGCCTTTCCTGTCCCTGAGGCCCGCACACCAGGTCAGACCTCCACATGAAGCCGGGTAGAGTAACACCGTTCACACCAGGAGAAGTCACCGACACAGTTGGAACCTGCCGGGTTCGAAGCAGATGATGTGCACGCGTGATCAGCAGAGTATGAAGGTGGATGCATGGACATAGCCAAAGTGAGCGAGGGAGGTTACAATCGAACAGCAGTAGCAACAACAATAGTAGCAATAGCACAGCATCAGGATAGATCAGGATGGGATAGCTTAGCATAGCACAGCATATCGTCCCGTCCCGTTGGCTCAGGCAGGCCATGTTTCAGTGGCTGCCCTTCTCGGTGAAGCGGAAAGCATGAAACAGACAAAGCTTGACGAGCTTTGAGAGCTGGAAATGGCCGTGGCAATTCGAAGTCGTGGGGGAACTGACCGTCCATGTGTGCAGTGCCTGTTCGACCGACCGCTGCGTTGTTCAGCTCTGCTGAACCCAGCCAGCCAACAGGCACATACTGTACAGGTGTGCTGCAAGTTTAGGCTGCACATCCCGTTCTTCGCACGACAGATGGGCGCTCTTGCCTTCAGAATCTTCACTTGTAAAGCCATGTAAGTCGCTTCCAGATTCCAGACTTAAGACGAAGTGTAGACTTGAAGCTATTGCGCTTTTCCTGCCATGGATGCTGACGTTCCTGCTATTCCTGTGGTAGAAGTTGTGCCTCCACGATTTGACGTAGAGACGGAAAGGCCACTCAGCTGACCTTGGGAAAACCCGCCTTGATTCACTAGTTGAGACTAGTGCGTCTCTGGAAGACCGACAGTAGTTAAACCATAGTCTGCTTTGCCAGCTACCGAAAACGTTGGTGGGACTCTGTTCGTGATTGCCGTCTTGTTAGCAGTGCCTGCCTGAATGAGTGGAAGCTGAGATCGTCGGCTGGACATGTGTGCCACAGCTTGAGCTACTGGTTGACCTAACATGAGGCACCTGCTGTCTGACTACCTGGAAGAGCATGGATATGCAGCAGCCTGGCTTAACTCTGCAACAGCCGTTCCGGCTGTGTTCTGTGTTTAGTTACAGCTGTTGCAATCAAGAAGCTTGCCCGGAGCCTCGAACAAGCGATGCGGAGGTTGTGGCCAATGTTGCTGATGATGCAGAGTTAGCGACAGCTCGATCCTTGATGTGGGATTTCCTCGAGGAGCGGCTTCAGCGGATTCTGCTTTCCAGCACAGTAAGTCCTGCAAGGTCCCCTTACTATTTAGGGTACTGTATCAGGGTCCCCCTACTATTTAAGGTACTATATTAGGGCCTAGGGCTATTAGGGCCTGCTAGGTTTCGAGGTGTCCAGGAGCCGTTATTGCGTGCCAGCTAGAGACGTGCAGACGTTGTGTTTGCAGCTGCGCTGCCTCCTTCGCAAGGCCTTGCCGCGCACACGGGTACGGCGTGACGATGTGCGGACGTGGGATGATAAGTTCCGTGTTTCAGTTGGGCAGGATAGTACGGCCATCTTTCTCATGTTCATGCTTGTGTTTTGGGATTCTGGACAAGATGAGGTATGACTGGATCCCGAATCCTGCCAACGGGATCGTGCACGGTTTCGGATTTGGCCAGTCTGACTTCATGTGGCATTTGCGACTGCTTCCACGTGTCAAGGCATGTGTGCTTGCATGCATTCTGACTTTGTTTGTCTTGGCAGGCTCATGGGTAGGCTACACCTGCGCAAAGGTTTGACTACACCTGCGCTAACATTTGAAAAAACACAATTAACGCGGCGGCAGAGTACAGTTCTGTCTGTGCAAGTAACAGCGCGACAGAGAACGTTTAACACCACAACGGCAAGGCGTGCTGCGTGGCCGAATCTACGGTGACAGATTGGGATCGTATTTGCAGCAATACAGTAGTGGTAGCGTTACAAGTGTGCCAAGTAGCTAGGCCGCATACATACATGCATGCATACATACCTACATACATGCATCACCTCTCTGTCTCTCTCTCTCTCTCTGTCTCTCTATCCCTCCCTTTCTAGGTCGTTTGCCTAAACCTGGCAAAGGCGGCTTTCGCGACAATTTGGAGCACCGACGATCTGCTGGTGTCCTTTGATGGTGGAAATATTTTTCGGCCGTGGAAATACAAAAGGTCATGGCTGACATCAGGAGGCGAAGAGAGGAACTTCGGAACGCCTTTTTTTCTGGGCTCCCGACCGTCTTCGGGTTGTAGAGTTCAGTAACTTGGAAGTCTGATGAGCAGGCTGGTATCACTGCGACCAGAATGCACGGTTCAAGGACAGCCAGGGCAAAGTCTGCATACAGGGGCTTGTCACTCTTTTCGACGCCACTGCGGATACCGGTGGCCTTGTCGTCATTCCTGGCAGCCACCGCCACCATGAAGAAATCTGCAAACGGAGTGCCTGCTCTGCACAGAGTGCTGAGCTTAGGCACTTTTGGGTTGTCGGGCACCGACTGTGTGCGTAAAGCTATGCCCACATGTAGTTATGTAAGCCCTCCTTGCATGTAGTAGTTAGGGTTTCCCTTGCTCGGATCGTGCTCGTTGTCTGTCTGGTTAGCTAAACCGCTTATCTTGCACGTCTTTGAGCAAGCTCGATTCTGCTCCCAGCACCACACGGACCCAGGACTGCTTAGCTCTCTGCAATTCTTATCCATACATGTCCTTGCTGGGCAGATGTAGCAAGGTGCTTTGGCAAAGCGGAGTGGTGACTTTGTGCCCATTGCAGTAGACGATCCGATCTTGAGCCAGGCTGATGTAGCTCTGCATGGCGCTTGCATGTCTTCAGGTCGACTCACATTGAAAGAGGGTTGGTGCAGGGTGGAAGCTTTGTTTCGAGTGAACATGTGCTTTATGAGTATTATGGGCAAGTCGAGCGATGAAGTTGCCTGTTCAGGGCGGCGTGCTCCTGCGTGCCCAAGCGGGCGACTTGTTGTTGTGGGATTCGCGTACAGCACCTTGTCTGTGTATGGCAGTCCAGGAAAGCATGTCACAATACTGTATGTTCTGTGGAGCTCTTATCTGAGTGCAATCATGTCAGATTCAAGATGCCAGGTTCACTGCAACACACCGGCTCTGACAGCTTTGCAGGCACTGCGCTCACGTGCGCTGCGCGATTCGGGTGCCCGGAAAAAGGGGTCCAGAAAGGGCAGTGTGATCAGCAAATCTCCCTGAGGACGATTGGGTTGACCACACACCTCCACAAGAAGGTTGGCAACCCATTCGCCAGGTGGGTTATGAATCCTGGCTTAGTATGGATATGGTCAGTCGATCGGTCCGGCATGTGCTCTGCTAGGATCCGTGTGTCGATCTTCTAAGTGGCTCAGGTTTGTATGACGCCGCGCAAGTTTGCATCAGCCGATGTGATCGAAAAAAGGAAGGATGCTTTCGTTAACAACGGTAGCACGAGTCACTGGCCCCACAAGCTCCTTGGACAAATCAGTAAATGATGCTCATGCGCACTTCTGTGCTTGTTTCGCAGCGCCTTGCACCGTAGCCTCGCTCTTGAGCATTTCAGGTGCCCTAAACTGCAGGCCCCCAGCCCTAAGCCCTAAACTTTACGCCCTAAACCTACAAGTCATCCCAAAGCTTGAACCTGCAACGTCCCAGCAAAGACCCTAAGTCCTACTCTACCAGCTGCGTCAAAATCTGTCAAGGTTTGTGTCTGGGGGACCTGCGTTGCCAACCACACCGCAAAAAGACCCAGAGACGATCTCCAAGGCTCTTTGCTGCCTGTGAAGTGAATTGGAGGTTCTTGTATTTGATTGGACACGGTTCTTTGGTCCTGATGATAAGGATCCTACTGCCCAAGGTCCTTCTTTTTGTCCATTGTTCCCTGGATTTCCAGTTTAGTTTCTGCTATTGTGAACCTGACATGGAAACCTCAGGAGCAGCGGTTGCTGATCGGCTACGATAGAGACACTTCTCGATGTGTTGTACAGTGAACCTCCCAGGCATATGCAGACTGAGTTCCAACCTGCCATTGCGCATGACGCAGCAGATGAAGTAGCGTGTAGATATGCATACTGCGTACTTGTAGTTCATAGCCACGTGTTTGCACATATACATATCTGTCGACAGATAGAAACATAGATAGATAGACAGATAGATATAAGATAGGTAGGTAGGTAGATACATCGATAGAGACAGATACACACATACATGGGCAGTTAACTTAAAACTATCGGGCGTTGTTTAGAGTCCACTTCCGACACTGCATAGAACACACAAACGTGCATATGGATAGTTCTCTAAATTAGGGTCCCCTTTAGGGTCCCTCTTTATAAGTTTGCCGAACTGGTTTGGAACCTAAACAGGGACCCTGGTTTGGAGAAGTACACGTATGTATCCACACCTGGCGGAATATGGATTGAATAATCGACTAAGACACAACAGAAGACACGGGCATCCACCAGCGCGGCGTCCCGCCATGCAGTGATGCATCGTGGCGCTTGATCATCGTGCGTGTTCCAAGCTCTCCTGACCCCGAAAGGTAAAGCATGAATCAGGCAAAGCCGGCTTCCAGATCCAACCAGTAGTGCATCTGAGATTGCCACGCGAATATGTCCGGGAGATGCAGTCTCATCCGAAAAGTCGTCGCACGGGATTCGATACCGTCTTGTGCTAAATCAGTCGGGCCAGTCGGTGGGTGCTTGCGGAGATCGAGAAGCGATCTCGCTGCACATCCGAAGCTGCTGTACAGTGAAAGCTAGATTGGCCAACTGCGCGGGTTTGGAAGTCAAAGATGCACATGCCGACCGAACCTTGACTTGGCTCTGAACCTGAGTCGGAGGGATCTATGAGCCGCCGTCGCGGGAGCTTACATTTGCCGCAGCTCCTTCTGCGTATGCAGCCAAGCCTGACGCCTCGGCTATCACTCGGAGAAACATTGGAAGTTAGGAAGCTCAGCCGCCGCTTGCAGTCTTAAAGTTGCGCTCCTCGCACAGTTCCACAACGATTTTTGAATGAGCCAGAGGGAGTGCTCTGCAGAGCCCTGGGTAGAGGCTTCCTGCCGATTAGTGGAGTTATAGAGCGAAGTGATCCCATGGCTCAATGGATGCTGCAGCTGCAGGTGCGGGAGGCTCAGTCTTCCACTCTGCTTCCTGCAGAGTCTGGAAGATAGCAAATTGAGACCCCGGAGTTGCTGTTAGTGCAAATCTAAGGCAAGTGACTACGAAAGCCATTGGTCCAAGTGGCACTCAAGTCACCCAGGCCTTCTTAATGGCGATTCCATGTTTCCTTACAAGCCCAAGATGTTGTCATGAGCTGGCAAGTGCCCGTCTTCGCGATTCCTGTCGGTTCAATGGAAAACATGGCATGACAAAGTCTGGCTTCCCAAGCAGATGATTGCTAGAAGACCTTCGTTGTCATCACACACTAGGTGCTGTCTTCAGAAGCAAACCCCATGGCGACCTCGCTGCAGCCGCGCATCTGGCGGCCATTGCTGCTGCCCTAACTGACAAGAACACGAGTTCCACCAGCACCTGGGCCAAGTCGCAGAAGGCCAATTCGAGAATGCCGAGGTATTGCCGGCACGCCTGCAGTCGCATCCTGACTGTGCGGTGGTCAAGCTCAGGCAACCAGGAGGCTGACACCAGAGTTTGCTTCGAGAGCTCACAGTCGTGGAGCATGCAGCATGAGCTGAGAACCGCGATCATTACTGCGACGACTGACGACCGCGGCACCACCACCACCACCCACCACCACCCACCACCACCACCACCACCACCACCACTACTACGACTACTACCACTACTACCACTACTACGACGACGACTACTACTACTTCTACGACTACTTCTACTTCTACTTCTGCTATTACTTCTACTACTAGTAGGACGACGACGACAACAACGACTACCACTACCACTACCACGACGACGACTACTACCACCACTGCGAGTACTACCACTACGACCACGACTAGACGACGACTACAACTACGACGACGACTACTACGACGATGACGACGACGAAGACGACGATGCCATCGACATCAGGTTTCGTCAAGTTCAATCAAAGCTCTGAAATGAGGAGAAATATCGCACGGCCCTGGTGGAGCAGAAGCGCGCAGCCGTCATCGAGGGGCAACGGCTGCGAGCACAGGCAAGGGGGCGAAGATACAAATCTTGATGGAACAGATGCCGAGGGTTGAGGCGGTCATAGTATATAATATATTATATATATTATATATACTATATATTTCATATCATTTACTATAATAGCATTGTGAGCATGAGCCTTCATGGCGCTCTGCAGGCGCAGCAGGTGACCCACATCTTTCGTGAAACTGGCCAGCAACCCAGCGATGCTCTCTGGCTTGTCTGGGATGCTGAACCTGCCATGCGCACCCAGCATCAATAGAAATACCAACGTTCTGCGAAGGCACCTGCACCCCAGCGCAGGCTAAGATCTGTGAAAGACGCTCCCCACAGGATTGTGTCGTGCGAGGAGAGAAAGCACAAAAAGAGCCACAAGTCGGAAAAGCTTGTGCTTCTTTGCTGTGACTGTAGCCATTAAGTACTTTTTGCACCACCAGCCCAGCAAACAAAGCCGAGGTGGAAGCACCCAGGGGGCTGCCACCCTGATGGCTCTCCTGATGAGGCTCTGCTGGACGTTTGCAGGTTGATGATTAGCCAGGCGAGATTTCAAGTGCAAGGCTGTCTTCCCCCCCGCAAAGTGCATCTCTCATGGCAGTTCTGTCGCAGAAACTTTTCTTTGCAGACTTGTGTCACAGGTCACTTCCAAAAAGTGTGCTTGAGGCCGACCAGCCCATTCCTCACCAGACTTTGTGCGGGGCTGGTGACGTCGGCCAGCGCCGTTTGCACCGCCCACTGGCTCCTGTACCCTGCGGACCCGTCGCAGCCTTGGAGCTCGAGTTATGGGGCGCTCGCTCCAAATCGCCCCAAAAAGCGTTAGATGTCCTGGGCCGCCTGCTTCTCCAACCGACTCCAGGTTTTGCGTGCTGAGCCTTGGCCTGGGCGCCTTCGTCTACGTCGCCGCTGCCCCGACGGGAAATCCTTAGGAAAAAAGCACCTGGCTGCTTTTGATCCTTTTGGATCCTTTTGCACTGGAAGGCAGTGGTAGGCACCTCGCACAGCGTTGCCTGGTACGGCCTCTTTGCCCCTACGGCCCTAGGCCTACGAAGAATGGCAGAGATAGAGCCGAGACTGAGAGAGAGACCTCCTACCAGTGATGTGAGGTGATGTTCGGTCTGCTGGTCTTTCCAAGACTGCCAGCTTGGTACGCAGCATCGCTAGACCCGCCACCGAAGGCCAGTATCCGGAAAGTGTCGTTGAGACAGGTATTCCGCCGGGTCTGCGGAAAGAAAACCACAGCCTGAGACGTGCTTGCTGCATCTTCAGGTAGACCACCGTCGGCGTCCGTTTCTCAGCGTCCCACCTCCCGCCTCACTCATTCATCGGATGTCTGGCCAACCTGTTGGTTGATGGTCTGAGGCTACTTACACTGAAAGCCAGTCAGGTGTTAGTGTTAGTTAGTCTGAGATAGACGCACACAAGATGTGGAAAAGATAATCGCAGTGCGTTGAGCGGGGCTTTTTTGTGATGTTCTTCCGATTTCTCCAGCTCTGGCATTATGGACTGCTGAAGAGGGACGGGCCGGTGGCGGGTTTGCTGCTGGGCAGATCTGGGCAGGCACAGAGTGGCATTTGGCCTACGCGGACGTGCGGGAGGTGCTGAGGTCCGCACACAGAACCAGCATTGATCTGCATTTGCTCCCTGCTATTTCAAAAGGCCGCTTCTGGCAGGAGTGCATGATCGAGACAAGTGCAGCTGCCTCGTTGGTCATTGTGTGAGTGTCCGGGCATGCCCAAGACCCAAACGCTTCTTCACGACTGCTGTAGTTTGTATCTCGCTGTAGTTGCTGGGGAAGGTTCTGAACCCGTGTTGCGTGCGCATGTCCATGGTGCATCAGTGATTTGGAGACGAGCAACGCTTGAAGTCTCATGAGCCCGTCAGTTTGGCATGATCGGAAATCGTTTGGCGCTCCGGCTATGCTTTTGATCGCCGATCCGCACAATGGGGTGACTGGGGTTGACCCACCCTGCGCATACTGGACAGACTCATGGGGGCTTTGCGCGGTGGGAATGTTCCAAGGTCAGATCGTGGACCTCGGCTGTGGCACGAGCTCGTTCGGCCGGAGCCATACCGGGGATCCCGTCTGTTCAAAGTCCGAATCCGGACCTCGAGCCCGAAATCCGAAGAAGACACAGTATAGTGACAGCCGTCGGATGGGGTCATGAGCAGGTTTGTGGCGTGACAGCACAGAGATAGGTCCACAATGTGAAATGTAACCCACATGAGCAAGGCTTTTTTGTACCAAGTCTGATTCGGATTGCTTCAGAATCTCGGCCTGAAAGCCACATCATGGGCACTTGCCGTCTGGATCGACACTCACATTCGCATCTCGCCGCCAACTTTGGCTCGAACCTTCATCCTCCTGCCCTTCGAGATATAGACAGGGAAGCCGCTGCTTGGTTGCAGCCCTTTGAACTCCTAGCAGATCCTAGCAGCCGCAGCACTCTTCGTGTACATTTTGTTTGCCTTGAGGCAGTTGCTGCGACCAATGGGCGCGCAACCATCCTCCTCCCCGAAGGGTGGAGGAGGCCATGGCACCGTCCTTGGAGTTTCCGAGAGCAGACGCCGACCCGTTGCGAAAAGCTTCCTGCAGTCTCTTCGATTCTGGACCCACCGGGCCCTGCTGCACCTGAGGTAATGCTGGGGTCGTCCGGCACTGTGCAAATGATGGGTCGCCCAAGTGGCATGCGTCAGCGTCCGAGAAAGAGGCACGGACTTCGCAATGCAATACTTCTCTTTATTCGTGTTACGGGATCTCAATGTTAAAGTTCAATTCAATCTGCAGAGTTTCGGTATACTGTGCATACTTTTAAATAGGGTTTGCTGTTTGCTCCTTGCTCCTTGTTGAGGTGCGGCCGGCCCGGAGATGCTTGCCGCTGCCTGGCAACATGTAGCTGAAACGGCGAAGTGCTTCCACGACCGTGATCTAGAATCTAGAGTCTGCGGGTGAGACCTGGTCGTTGCATCGACAGACAAGACACTCCAAACAGCGTGTTCAAACAACAAGTCTGGGTGACATGCGGAGACCAAGTCAGGCTCGCGTGGACCGGAGTGACTGGGCAGAGCTTAATTTAAACTCGGATACGGCACTTCATGCAGTGTTCGTATTGATTTGCAGCTCCTGTGCTTGTAGCAAAGTCCCACTGGTTCTGCTTTGATTCTACATGTTGCTACTGCAGAACACGATCCGCCCCCGAGTTGGAGTTGTCTGTTTTGTGCCTGCTGCGGTCGGTCAGGCCGGAGAGGCTTCGGATGTCGCTGGCTTGCATATACATGATCTGACACACACACACACAATGACATACAACCACCACACACACACACAGAAACGTAGATCACAGACACACACACACACACACACTCTCTCTCTCTCTCTCTCTCTCTCTCCCTCCGTCGCTCCTTCTGTTCAATGCAATCTGGCGTCGTCATGCTGGGCTTGCAAGCCGTGGCTCAAGTCATTACGCCCAAGCGACAGCTGAACCCCTGGTCCATCAGGTCATCGAAGCCCGAAACCCTCAACACCAAGCAGCAAGTTTATGCATGCCACTGCCAAGGAGGAAGAGGCTGACGCTCCAGCCCCGGTCAGGTCGAAGACACTCTCCGCAGAGGCCACCGGTTTCGGATTTCGGACTACATTACATTTTGCATGGTGAAGTTTTTGACATAAGTGGAGGGCTGCCAAGCCCCTGGAGCCGCAGAGGTAGTATAAAAGTTAGAAGCGTTTTTTTTTTTCCTTTATTTCTTGTTTAGAACGAAACTCCGCACCTCCACTCCCTAAACCCTCCACCCCCCTCCCCTCTTCTCCCCTCCACCTCTCTGCTTTTCCACCCTCCACCCGTACCCCTCCACCCTCCACCCCCTCCAACCTCCCGACCTTCCACCCCACCACCTCCAACTCACTCCGCCACACTGCACCTCTCCCTCCACCCCACCACCCCCCTTCCCTCCATCTCCACACCCCACCACCTCCACCTTCAACCTCCACTCCACCTTGCCACCCCTCCATCCTCCACCTCTCCATCCCTCCACCCTCTCCACCTTCCGCTCTCCACCCCTCCACACTCCACCCCACCTCCATTCCACCCCACCCTTCCACCCCTGCACACCACCCACCACCCGCTCCTCCGTAATTTCACACAAGCCAAGTGCCAGTACCCACGACTCACACCTGCACCCTAAACTTGCCCTAAACCCAATCTCCAGGCGTGGCTTGCAAAATGCGTTGAAAGCATTACAGGTTGGCGCAAAGCCTCTAGGTCCAAATTCTTATGAAATTATTGTATTTTCCTGAGCCTGACTTGAACCCAACCCCATCAGAGCCACCCGGTAACCTTTCCAAGCATTACAAGCAGCGAGCTCGATTCTAGAATTGCTGACACACGAAACCCTGAAAACGTTTAGTCCCACAAGACCCTGAGAACGCCCCAAACTCTATATTATATCACACATTATGTCTAATTGGCAGCCGGGGGTGGAGTGGAGGGTGGAGGAGGGGTGGAGGTTGGAGATGCGGGGAGTGGAGGTGGATGGGCGGAAGGGTGGAAGGTGGGTGTGGAGGGGTGGAGTGGATGGAGGGGGTGGGAGGCGTGGAGGGTGGAGGGAGAGGGGTGGAGGGGTGGCGGAGGGTCGCTGAGGGGTGGCTGTAGAGGGGGATCCGCTGATTAAAAATGGGCTTGGCGGCCCGGGCCCGAAGCCAACGAAGGCAGTATAAAAACATCTGTCTAGCTGTATACGGATCCGCATATGTATTAACAGTCACCGTAAATTTCTTCCCATGCTGAAGCGGCGCTACTGCTCGCATAGTATAGTGATATATATATATATGTATGCAGATTAATACAATGCAATATAATGTAGTATAGTATAGTATAGTATAGTATAGTATAGTATAGTAAAATATATTATAATACAATAGGATATGACATAACGTGATATAGTATGATATGATATAGTATAATATATTATATTATAATATAATATAAATTTAGACTATCAGACAGATAAACAGACAGATAGATAGATGCAGATATATACATATCCACATATGTACAGGTTTCACGTTATGAGTATTGTGTTTTTGTGTGTTTGTGTATGTGTGTGTGTGTCATCATGTGCCCAGGCACAGGACTACTGTAATGCACTGAGTCACTATGTATTCTTGAGGTGTGACACGGCAGAGTGGACAACCCCGTGCCCAAAACCCGGGCTCGTCCTTGCTAGAATTCATGGCTCCCGGTTCCCTCAACCTGCCTCAGCCAGAGTGGCGCTCCAACCCCCAACAACGCGGACGGACAATGGGTAACAACAAACAACCTTAATTGAAGCTCGTTGTGTGTTGGACCTGCGCGAGTCTGTGTGCCAAAGCCAGCTTAAACCCTGCATGCCCTACACCCTAGATGTATATATATATATATATTACGTATAATCACACTCGGCTTTGGGGTCCACTAAAGCCCGAAGGCCTGGGAGGCCCGACCTTTCTCGCGGGACTCGACAGCTTCGACGCTGAGCACAGGCCCCCGGTCGGGGAGTAGAGAGGGGACTTTCCGAAAATTAGGGTACCTTATTTTGGGGTCTTTATAATAAGGATCCTACTATTTAGGGTTCTATATTAATTAAGTAGGGTCCCCTATTGTCGGAAACTCCTGCTGGGCGGGGGTGGCCGGGGTGAAGGTGAAACCCCCAGAGGGGGCGTAGGTTTCGAGTAGGAAAATAAGCGGAGAACCGCAGAAGGGGTGGAGGAATGGCCGTACATGAGCTCCCTGAACCTTCGGGTAGGGTTCGGAGTCGCGTCCTTGCATGTACCCCCCCCCCCCTCCCCCTGCCAAGCATGCATTGGAACGCATTGGAAGGAAAATACAGGGACGAATTCGGCGCCTGGCGCCCGCAGACTTGTTCTTCGCGGCCAAGTCTCCCGTCCACTGCCTCAGCATCGAGCTCTGCCAGGAGGCAGAGTGTGGTCCTGCAGGGTCATTACTTCATGTCATGTTTGGGCCTTCTGTGATGCAGTGCCTTACTTCAGAACATCTAGCGACGTGTGTGCAGATCGAGCAGGCCATCAAGAAGCACATGTTCTCGAAGTGATTCCTTCCGGAGCTCAGCGACCCATTCATCTCACAAGCGACAGGAGGCCCATTGCCATCACTGCTTTGCGGTTCATGTGTTTCCTGTATCATGACGAAGCGCTGGGTTTGGGAGCCGTTCACGTGCAAGGCGTCACGGTCCTTGGACCCGGACTGCTCCCAGACACTTGCCTGATTCAGGAGCTGCACGAAAGGTTCCGGGGCTAGAGAGAACACTTGGGGACTTGGGCAACTGTCACCGGCCTGCAGTCACCGGGGCATATAGCATATTCCGAATCAAGCTGCTGGCTGACAGCGGCAATGTGAAACTAGTTACCGAGTTCCCTCACCATCACTTGATATAGATAACGTTTGTCCTCCCAGATCCGTTGTGCGTTACAGTCGCAAATTAACTGATGAGGTCCGGAGCGCACAGCCGTGAATTGGCCCTGAATGACGTGAAGCTCGAAGATGCGCGGCAGAGAGCTTCAAAGTCTTTAGCTGCTCTCCTGCACTCGGCCCGAAATTTGGTAACTTAGCACCTGCAGCTTCTGGAAGCACATCGGCCTGTGCGTGATGGTGGGTGAAGGAGGAAGCCTTTTGGGCAAGATCTTGAACGACATCGTTTCCTGTAATAACAGTTCCTGCCAATAAGAGCCGCAAGCAACGAGACAAGCCACAAGCACAATGACCACGAGAGTAATAGCGATGATGTCAACATCGGAAGATGACACGACTGACGATTGCATTGAGCAGAACCTGTGCGATAGCCAACATAGGCAGAAAGCTCGATGTCAAAGTGTGATGATCGGAGTCATTTTCTGTCGAGGATAGCTGAAGTACAAAAAGCAGAAACAACTGGGAACACACAGCATATGATGCCAAGTGCATGCAGCATCAATGCTGAGAGAGCTCGGAGTGATGGCCTTTCCAAGGAAGCTTTACAGGCAAAGCTCCGAGCATCCCGGATGCCAGAGATTCCTCGACAAGCAGAGGCCCCACTTGCGAAAGAGGATGGGCCACCTTCCCTGTTTTCACTGGGAAAACTCGCCGGTTCAAGGAATCTCTTGATGTAGATACCAGGTTTTGTCATGACCGCAGAGTATGCTCATTCACACGTCGTCCCATTCTGTGGCCTTCACCGTGGTTGCCTGGATCTGAGCCGGTAGCCACCGCCATGCCCAAGCCTGGATTGGGTTTAGGGTTTAGGGTCATATGGCTATGTCGGGAAGTCATTTTGTTACCAGCTGCTGGTGTCCAGTCAAGCTGCTGATGGTTATTTGGTCGTTTTTCGGGAAGTGCATTACTTACAGCTGGCTATGGATCGTTCGTGTGTGTGTGTGTTGTGTGTGTGTGTGTCTGTTTGTTTTTGAGGTGGTCCCCGCGAGTTTCTTGAGCAAGGTGTGGAAGTGCAGTCATGAGGGCTGAACCTCCCTATGCTCAGACCTTCAGGCGACTGCACAAGTCCTGATCCGAATAGCAGAGCTGCATAGATTAGCTTCTGCAAAGCTATTGGGAAGCCAGAGTCAGAGCCTCCAGACCCCTTAAGCCTAGCAAGCAAGCTTTAACATGCCTGAATTATCCCCGGGCTGCGACGAAGAGCCCCCTGGCTTCTTTTCAATGGGCATCAGTGGGCTTTGCCTTTTTGCCGCAGGTTCTGGCTGCTGTGGCCGAGGACCAACCGGGGCAGATCCAGGACTGGAGAGTTTATTGATTTAGATACACAAACATTGAAACTGATACTTCTCTGTTCATATGTATGTACATGTATATGTACATGTACATGTAGGTGTATATGTCTCTATATCTCCTTGTGTGTATTACGGATTAGGGATGAAGCTGCGGTTTTGTTGATGTTTAGGGTTTGGAACTTACGTGTATATGTCTGCGGTATAGTCTAGGCAGGTGAGTAAACAAACATTCTCAGAAGGCTGAGAATATTTGCCGACAATATGAGAAGAAGAAGCTCAAGCCGAAAACTTGAACAGTAGCAGGCTTCGTTTGCCAGGCCAAACCGCCCGAGAGCCGATACCTGAACTCCCCAACAAATCAATTTCGACAAAGGAGAATAGATAGTATCAGCAGCAACGTTAGCCGTAGAGGTAGCAGGAGGAGTAGGACTAAAACTGGGCTTCATTCGCTGACGTGCAGAAACAGGCAATCTCTTGCTAATAGAGAGTAAGCAATGGCGCAGGAACCGCTGGAGTCGGTAGTTAGAATCCGCAGCTGGTCTGCAAAAGATCTCGTTGTGCTTGCTGTGGGCGCTCTCCGACATTGCAGGGGCACGAAGTTCAAAGAGGCTTTATCAGCAATGTGTTGCAACCGGACGTGCGCTGACAAGGACTAGTGACTAAAGTCCACGAGTTGTGTCGCGCGTAACAGACCAGGCATGACGCCGAAGACTGATCGGCTGGCGTTCTGAAGTTACTTGAACTGACACGCCTGGGGCGCACTGAGGACCTGCATGGTCTGAAAGACAGAGAGGCACTGCCGAGCTGCTTGAACATGCCCCGCTGCATGCGGCAGCTGATGCTCCCCGGTTTCTATTCCCGACGAAGTGACCAAGAGCTGACAGAGCAATTCGTCAGTTAATGCGTGGCAGGTGCCTACGCCGAGAGAGACGAGGGAACGGCTTCAACAGCTCTGCGGACAGCAGGTGAAGACATCAGCGTCTGGTTCCGACATTCTGCCGTCTTCGTCAGTTTGCCGAAGCTGTTTGCACCTGTAGACTGCAAATCCTGCCTTGTTACATCGCCAGCTGATTCCCTCTTGAAGTTTCAAGCCTGCCGACTCCTCGCATGTGCCTGAGACCCGGTCAGCAAGTGTCGCCAAAGCTACAGACCAAGCCCTAAGCGCTGACCTGCACGAAGCCGCTAAATCTCTAGACCTACACTTTACGCACACGCCACCCACTCCACAGTTGCTCTCACGAATAATCGCCGAGATTATCAACAACCGAGTTCCCACAATCCCGAGCTGCCATGGAGGCTGTGAAGACAGCAGTCTCAGGACTTCCACCTCCCATGCACACTGTCAAGCTGCTGCCCACCTCTGCCGACATAAGCAGGGGGCAGAGAATACGGAGGGCGCGGCTGGCAGTTTGGCTTTACGGCTCTGCAACTGGACTCACCCTGCTCTGCTTGAAGGGCCGGCAGCTTTGCAGAACGAAGCGGAGTCAAAAGTCAAGCACAGTGTCGCTCCAAAGCGGCGAGCGACAGCCTTTGATGGAGAACGACGGTGCAGAGGCGGAGGAGGATGTGGAAGCTGTCCAGAAGAATGATGAGTTGGTGCAGTACCAGCTTGCAGTGGGGTTCGTCATGTACCACATGACCTACACCTTCTTCGGCTTTATCCTGGTATTCTGGGCATGCCGCCAGGGATACCTCAACAGGTACGGCCTTGACTGGGAGCTGTACTTGTTCTGGTTTCTAGAAAGTGTTGTCACGCACCTGGTTTGCGGTGCAACTCCCGGCCAGTTCTTGCGCTCCATCATGCCGATCTTCAGTGAGCGCTACGACTTGATCAAGGACACCGTAAGCATTGGCGTGTATGCGAACTTGAACAACCTTGCCGGCCACATGTGCGCCGCCATCATTGTTGTCACCATGCTGCTGCCCAACATGATCAACTACCTGGATCCAGTTACGGCCCGGCTTTCTCGGATAGCATATTGGCCTCAGCAACAAAATGTCAGTGTCAATAAGGCTAGCGCCCGGTCCACTAGCGACATGCTAAAGGTCCTCGCCCAGCAGGCAGAGGAAGCAACACGTGGACATCGTCGTATGTTGTGTCTCTTTGAGGATCTACCGCAGTTGTTCGTGGCAGTTGGGTTCTCTGTATACACATTCTATGCAGAAGGCGCCGGTATCCCTCCGTTCATCGCCGTCAACATGGTAGTGGCTTTCGTGAAAACTTGTTCGATTCTATTCGGCAGGCCTTTTGTCTTGGCATGGATGGCTCTGCACGATTTGCCATGGCCAGCCAGCAGTATTGCTGAGAGGGATGTTCGTGGTGTGGTCTCGGTGGGTGTGCTCGGTGAGGAGTGGAAGCAGCAAGCCTTCGAAGAGCTCCTTGGCGACAGCCGGGCTCCCGTCTCCTCGCGGCAGGCCGCAGAAGAAGAGTTGTTCAAGCTGTTCCTTGGATTCTTGGGCCATGGGGCTTTCGACATGGATTTCGTGAAGCATGCACGCTGGCAGCACACTTTCGATTGCGTCAGCTTGTTGGCCTTGAGCAAGGAGCTGTCAGACAAACAGGCGGATGCACTCGTGCGGAAGTGGGAGGTGATGAACGATTTACGGTTTCTACGCCCAGCAATCCGGCGCGAGAGCTTGGTGTCGTTGCGAAGCATTGCCGAGAATACAGAGAAAGAGCCGGATGGCAGCTTTGTGGCAGCGACATGGCCGAGGCCCCTTCTAGGCTTGTTGTGGCTTCGGCTTTGGAACGGCGCAGAGGACGAGGTCCGGGCGTCCTACATGCTTGATGCCTGCGAATCGACGTTCGACGAAGCAACGGCACTCAAGATCCTCTCCTTTGGCCCGCCAGCTTTCAGGCATAGGTTGCAAGGAATACGCAATCTCGCCTGCAAGGCAATGATCGCGGCTCCTTGGGAAGACTTCCAAGAAGAGGCTGGTCTCTTGGTGCGCCTCGCATTTTCGGATGAGGATCTCCAAGTGCGGAGGACAGCTTGGAGAGCTCTGTCCTTGAGAAGCTCAGGCTCAGGGGAGGACCTGGTAAGGAAGGAGCTTGCTGAGGGCAAGCACTTTGAGAACCGGCAGGATTCTGTTTTGGTGGAAGCTTGTTATGCGGTGCAGTGGCTAGGTGAGTCCACACTCAAGCTTTATCGGCAGAACTTACTGGAGCTTCTAAGCCACCAGGAGAAAGGAGTTCAAAATGCAGCCTTTCGCGCATTATTTTATTGGGGTCATATCGACGATGCATTGAACGCCATGACCCCCTCTGCCGCCGATAACCTGCACCGTTGGGATTGGTCGGAGGTCAAGCTGGCTCCGGCATGCGTCGGCATGGCGTTGACGGCCTCTCATGCAGAATCCCTACTGGCGGTTGTGCTCCACGCGGATGCCAATGACTTGTTTTCGTCTAGCATCTACACTTTACTGTCTCAGGGAGATGAGCAGTGTGACAGCTTTGTGCAGAAGAAGCTGGGGGAGATGCTTTTGGTGGGTCGCATGGACAAAGCCAAGCTCTTGGCCCGCGCTATCCAGTCGCCAAGCGCGGAATGCTTTGATGTTCTTGTGCAGCTTGTGAGGCAAGCGCACGCGCCAATTTCTCGGGGCCCTGAGGACTTTTCGATTCGGAATGCGGTGCAGTTGCTGCAGCGCTGGGCAGGCAAGCTCACGGGCCGACAGATCCAGGACTTGGTGCAGGAGCTGCGGGCATCAGGTGACAACGCTTTCCAGGATACCTTTCCCTACAGTGTATGCTCCGTGCTCCAGGCCTTGGTTAACACACCAGAGGCTGTGGCTTGCATCCCGCGACTTGTGGAGATCGCCAGAGGGCAGGGTCGCGCAGAGGTGCAGGAGGCTGTATGCATGGTGCTGCATCGATTCGGCACTGTCCCGGACATCTTGCCTCAGTTGGGTGAATTGGCCTATCTCCTGCGGGACAGCCACAGCACTACCCGCCATGCAGCTTGCCGCATCTTTGAATCTCAAGATGCGATCCCTCTCTTGGCTAAGTATGTGCCTATGCTTCTCTCCGTTGCCCTCGAAGATGTGGATCAGAAAGTGAGCGAGGCAGCATGGACAGCGCTTGTCAGGCTGAACGTCGTCAGCAACGGACTGACAGATTCGGAGGTCAGACAGCATGTTTCTTCAGTTGCCAATGGCCTTTGCACACATGAGAAAGAACTTGGCTCCAGGGCTCTTGCTGATGCTTGCTGTGCTGCAGCTTTGATTCCCACCGATGAAGTGAGCCATGAGATCGTAGAGGTACTGTCACGGCTGGCTACCGTTCGGATTGACGGCGACCTGACGTTCATGAACGGGGCCTTGGAAAAGCAGAACACCAAGCTGATGGCAAGAAAGGCACTGCACCAACTTCGAAGAAACGATGCCATCGCAGAAGCCGTTGTCGCCAACCTGATGGAGGTCGACAGATGGACTTGGGCTCTGATGCGCATCGAGACCGTCACGGCTGCGCAGCTCTCGGAAGCGGCACCCTTTCTATTCCGCTATGCGGAAAAGGAAGACCTCGCAATCTCCCGCAATGAGCTTGAGCGTCAAGCCAAGGAAGCTGCTATAAAGAAGCTGCGCAGTGGCAAGTCTGCTGCAGAGTATCCCTCGTTTCTGTCTTATCTCGCGGCTGCCGGCGCTGGGAGGTATGATAGGGAGGGTCGAGAGGTTGAGTGGGTCTTGGGTGACGATGCTCTGCGAAGGTGCAGGATTAGGTGATGCGGGTCTCTTTCGCTATCCTCCCGAGAGGCTTTTGCACAGTTCAAAGTTTTGAGTTTGGAGGTCGGAGCAGTGGTGATACAAAATCGTTCCTTCAACAGACCCAATTTCCCCAGTTCACAGGAGTCGTCTGCCAAAAGGTGGTTCGACTCTCCTGCATGTTGCTTGAACTTGGATCGAGGCGATTTAGCTTCCAGACCATTTTAAAACACGCTGGCCATGTGAACGGCAGGGCTTACTCGAATTCGCCGTTTCACCTAAAATGAGGCATCGTGCAACTGGGCCGTACCTTGCCATGGGGTTGGACCAAGGAAGTCACCAGCCCACTCCTTCCTAAGTCCAGACGAAACAGTCTAGGAAACAGGGGCATAGTAAGTAGGTGCTGCAGTGCCCTGAAGATAACTGACCCTATAACTGGAAGCCTAGTTACGACAGCTGTTGGTTCAAACTGTATATTATATTATATATTATACTGTATTAAGTTATATATTATATATTGTATTATATTGTATTATATTATATTCTATTATATTATATTATATTATATTATATTGTAATATATTATTGTGGGTCTGGACCTGGGCCATTGGGCCCAGGGTCGCTCAACGCAGTGACACTTTGAATTCGCTAAGACTGGCCCTCGAACCCGCGCGCCTCGACTGTTTTGATTAGACTGATTGATTTTGAAGCCTTCTTGAAACAAGGAGGCTGTTGCTAAACCCTCAGACTGCGATGTTCAGCCATTCGCCTGTCATGTTCGACTACGTCGGAGCAGACGCTACAAAGGCGAATCGTGATGATGATGATGATGATAACTATCAACGTCATGACTATAATCTTGGTGGCGGTTGCGGTGATGGTGTTGGCGTGCATCGCACTGTAAAGAGGAAGAAGGAGACACCTGCTCCAGCGTCTTTTCCCGGCCAGGTGCTGGATACGAGCGCATGCCTGCACCACAGGCTCCCTTGCGGCTGGCCGAAGCTTCTCAGGCAGAGAGAATTGCTGGAGCTGTGTTGTTTTTTTTCGTCTGGGTCTCCCAGGGTCCTTTTCGATGACGGTTTTTGTATCGCTTCTAACAGACTACGAGGGGAGCCCCGAAGCATAATTCTGCGAGGACTTCGTGGGGCTGAGCACAACGTAGGCTTCTCCCGTACTTGAGGGAGGAGATGCTGAGCAATGGTGACGGGAGATGTAGCACGGCGGAATCTTCGAGCCCAGCACTGCCTGTTGCCCAAAGCCTGCCTGCGGAGTCGTCTTCCGACCACGGCGCGGCCGGATCTGCTGGTGCTTCAGCACCCAACACCACAGCACACTCCCACACCTTCTTAACTCTGGATTCAAGATCTTACTGACACAGGACCAAGGCCCCTAAAGACCCAGTGGCCCAGAGGCTCGAGAAGTCGACCGGCATGCGCGGCGAGCTTTAAGGCCGGAGCCGTCCACTTTGGGCCAGAGGCCGGGTGCAGTTTCTTGATGTACAGCACTTTCATTGCCAGGATTATGGCCTGACGGTTGTCGAGTGATTAGTGATCAGGTACTTTGATCCTGCTGACGGCGTTTGACGACGGTCGTCCTCTACAAATGCGTCCAATATTACAGTCTCACCCAGTTTCCCGATGTCATGACCGCACTCGGCATCCAAGGAGTGGAAGGACATAGTGTGACATAGTAGTTTGTGCCGGGTAGCGCGCTTTTTCCACTCTCAAGCATGAGGTAACCATCAGTCCATGGTGTTAACCGTACTGAACCACAAGCTGCCAGCCATTGGGACCGTGTGATGATGCGGTAGTTTGCAAGAGGCGGTTGGTCCGAATTCAACCCAGGAGCTGTTTGACATGAGATCGGCATTGGCATCGTATGAATGCCATGGCCTCCTGGTACTGTCAAATCACTCTGTTAGGAATACAAGTAGCCAAAAGCAATCGTCGCTTCCGTCGTAGCGGAAGGCTAGTCGCATAGGTTTAGTTGTAGAGACACTTGTCGTATCAGCAGCCGGAGGAGGTGTGGTTTTAGCAGTCGTCGCCATCGTTGTACGTGCTAGAGCAAGCGGTGGTTGCAATCGTAGTGGTAGTCGTTGATGCAGCCGCGGACATAGCGAAGGCCGTCGCAGTTAGCAGTAGTGAGTAGTGGTGGTAGTCGTCGTCGTAGTTGTAGTAGAAGTAGCAGTAGTTAGTCTAGTAATCATTATTACTGTTATTATTATCATGATTATTCTTATTATTCTTCTTACTATTACTACTACTACTACTACTACTACTACTACTACTACTACTATATAGTAGTAGTAGTAG